AGCAAACAGGACACATGAAGTTTTTTCCTTCGTTGTAGCAAGACATAGTCGGAAATGTTTTCACACACTCTTGGCACCTGCCCTCCTTCGAATCGGCATTCTGTTTCATTTCACTTTCCATGTTCAAGACCTATTGTTTATACAGGCAGCGTGTGTAGTTAAGTTGTTAAATATGTTTTATTGAATGCCTAACCCGACAGTGGTTGGAAATGTCTTTAAAATGGCTCTTTAAATCGTACTTTCACCGTATGCAAAATTACATCGATCAGTGATATAGATCGATCGCTTCGGGCAAATGCCTTATAAAACACTACGGTAACACAGTACGTATGAGAGCAATACACTATTATGTTGTATTATTTTGCATTTACACCACCCACTGCAGTAAATTGAAAATTCAGAACAACACAACAACACTATTACTTCACTACTTCACTAACGGTAAATTCTAATACAAGAGGTATACAGCAATGTGCGCATTAAATTTATATGTTCAATATTTGAGTAAAATAAAATCAGTATCATAACGCAAATTCTCCAAAGGACAGACAGAGTTTGGATCCCAGATCAAAGGGGATCCAAAGATCCCTTAATATTAGACCCCCCCCCCCCAAATCCATCCTTTTATATAATTAGGTCCAACCTATCCTTCTTTCGATTTTATTTTGTGTGTCTTTTAATTGAAAGACGAAAGGGTATGTTGATGGAATGGGGATGGGGGTAACCCGAATAGGGGGTTTATTTATAGTGCCACATTGCCAAAGTTATTGTACTGCTGAGTATTAAGTCAAATTGATTTTTTTTTCAACTTTTGAAAATTACAAAATAATTGCGGTCCTCTATCCAAACAGCAGTCACTGTCGAAATGTTTAATTTTTGTTCAGTTTGAATTTCCTAAACTCGGAGTTCTATTTTAAAGAAGTTTTTTAAACAATAGTTTTTACTTTCATCATAAAGATTGTTTGAAGGTCAAGATATTTGTGTATTCGGGATATAATGTGAAATTTTCTGATGGTATATTTGTGGTTGCTGCTATATAGTACATTTATAGTGGTCCATCAAATGTATGCAAGTATAATACTGCATGTGATCATTTTTTTTTTAATTGAATGATTTTCGGTTGTAAACATGCTAGTTTTGGGCCGCACTTGCGAGCTAATTAGAGCAGTCAACTAAGTCAAATTTTTAGCATCGATATGATTTCTATTATTTTATCGAGGAGTATAGGGAAAAAAACACTAGATTTAACATGAATCATAGTGTTTCTTTTAAGGGGTTGTATATACTAGTATCTATAGAACAACCAGATTAACTTTTTTAAATTTAAAAGTTTATAATTATAAAGGTAACTTGATTGAAATTGAAATCTTTCTTACAGTAATTTCTATTATTTTTTATTTTATTCAGCTCTATACTATGCAAGGTTATTTGAAATCTTGGATACGGCCTTGTAAAAAAGTTGAAATCTGTACCCCTTGTAGGTACAAAAAGATGTACCCAATGTCCATGCATTAGCTTAGTGAGAGTGATTTGTAATATCCAGAACTCAACAGGTGCGCACTATAGCCGAATCATTCCAGAAAACACGGTCTCTTTAGGAAGGTCAATAAAAAAAAATTAAATAAGCGAAAACACACTTGCGCAAAATGTGAATCTTTGCCGAGAGGAATACTCACAATTCGCCAGTCAAAAGTTTGTGCTTTACCAATAGAAAATTTCTCAAAATTGTGCTAACATACTCACAGTATTTTGGTATACATTTATGTGGATGACTTTCAAAGCTTCATACTAATGACTTTTCATATACCAATAAAGCATAGATCCGTGTTTTCGAGGAGGGGTCATCGCTTTCAGGGGGGGGGGGGTGTCTAATGTCAATTTTACTTGTTGTTTTTTTTATAATTGTACATTTAATAACTCTGCAAATTCCAAACTCTATAGTGTATAGATCCGCGCATGTATATTGATCATATTCGGCCATGTACCTTGCGCTTTTGTTTGATATCGAAAGTCTTTTCATGCATGTTAAATCATTATCATAGAAAAGTACTTATCACGTAATAAATATTTATTCTTTTATAGTCCATCCTTGAAAAATGAAATGATGTAGTTGCTACTGTATCCAAGATATATGGTTCCACAACTTACTTGTCGAGGAAAAGGGCAAAGTTTACATTCAGTGTTTTGTTTTGAACATATTTTATTGTACAAACAAAAGGATTGGAAACAAGTTCTTTCAACTTACGAGTTCCTCTCCTTAAATATAACTATATGTCATGCAAGTAAAATACATGTAGTACATTGAGATATAAATACAAAAAAGATACAAGTGAAATATTTGTTCAGAAATATAACAATTTAAAATCTACAAGATTCGTCAATAAATTTATGCACAGCAGCAAAAATATATGTGTTTGTTTCTACAGGCAAATTTACATCACTGCATAATAACAAATTTGTGTCAATATTAACCAATTCGTCAAGTAAAAATAGGCGATTAAAAAGATTATTCCTAGCGTTTGGATAATTTCTGCAGGCAAAAAAGAAATGATAAACATCTTCATACTTTCCACATGAACATAAAGGGCTATTAATAATATTTCTTTTGTGTAAATCATAATTAAGTATACAGTTGTGTCTAAGTTTAGTATGGATTATATTTGTATATCGTTTGCCAAATGAAAAATAGATTGGGGGATTTTTTACTTCTGTAGTTAAGTTTTTTCGAAACGCATTGAGTGAGATAGCTTCCCTTGTTTCTGTCTTTAATAAATTCCAATGTTTCACAGCGTCAGGAATAAAAGATCTTTTATATAATTCTAATCTGCATCTTGGGGCAGCGTATTGTTCCTTATTACGGGTATTATATTTTGAAATGTTTTCGCGCTTGCTTGGAACAATGTCATTCAAATATTCAGGTACACTACCATTATGAATTTTGTACATCGTGGTCATTTTTGCATTATAGCGCCTAACTTTCAATGTTTCCCAGCCAGTTTCAGAGTAAAGTATTTCTCTTGACACAAAAATTGGAAGTCCTGTAACAATTCTAGCTGCAGATAATTGAACTCTTTCAAGCTTTTCGGCATCATTATTAGAGCAGCCATCCCAAACAATTGAAGCGTATTCGAGCGAGGGTCTGATAAATGTGACATACAATTTTGAAAGATGTGTCCTGCCGATTTTAAATTTAAGTTTTTTCAAAAGGCCAAGTTTCTTATAAGCATTGTTTACAATGCTATCTATGTATTCTGTCCAGCTAAGGTTTTGTGATAACAATAGACCTAAATGACGATGAACAGGGACACACTCCAATCTGTCACCTTTAAAAAATAATTTAGGCATAACAGAAATATTTTTCTTATTGAAAAAAATAACTTTCGTTTTGGAAGGGTTGAATTTTAGAAGCCACTGATTTGACCAAAGTTCCAGTATATGTAAATCATGATTTAAATTATATTCAATATCAAGTATGTTGTATGAAGAATGTTGAAGCGAATTGTCATCAGCAAAAAGTCTACACAATGTTAACATATTTACAGCAACATCATTTACATATATCAGAAATAAAAGGGGTCCTAAAACGGAACCTTGGGGTACACCTGCAAAAATATCTAGTTTTGATGATAACAGATCTTTATACATAACTTTTTGTGACCTTTTACACAAATAACTAGAAAACCACTGCAGAAGATCACCCGATATACCGTAAGTTTGTAATTTGAAAAGAAGTCCTTTATGCCAAACTCTGTCAAAAGCTTTTGAAAGATCGCAGAAGACCATACAACATGATCTACCTTCATCAATACTTTGAACAATACTATGATACGTTTCTAGTAATTGGTAAACAGTTGAATGACCTGGTAAAAAACCCGCCTGATATCGATAAAACAAATTGTTATAATGGAAATAATTGTACATATGTTTGAAAATAATTCTCTCCATAATTTTACTAACACAAGATAGTAACGACACAGGTCTATAATTAGAAACTAAGGAGGGGTCATCGTTTTTAAACAAAGGAATAACATGAGCAGTTTTCCAAAAAACAGGAAACTTTTTTTCTGATTGGGACCTATTAAACAGCAGTGTAAGTGGTTTAGCAACAGTATAAATAGTGGATTTTAACATTCAGTGTAAGGAAGATGCAAAATATACGAAATGCAAAGTAGCCAGGATTGCATTGCATGCATTAAGACTGTCTGGTACTTCGTTTTCCAGAACTATTTATACCTTACCAATGCTTTAAGGTAGTAATTTTTAACATACATAACATGTCGAAAATATCAGTTACACACCCAGGTCAGACTGTCATTTGGAACTATCAGTTACCTTTTATACGTTTAACTCAATGCAATAGAGGCTGAGTTAATATGCGATATTATGCTCGGCTTGATGTACTGTGTTATGTTTTTCATAAAATGTAATTCATTTCATAATTATAATTATAGTTTGACCGATGTGCCATGATATAAATAATTAATACATACGTTATATCTTTTTTCTGTTTTTGTTTATTTAAATTTTGTTCCATGGTGAGGAAATGTTGCATATAGTGTTTGATTCAGAGATAAATGTATTTCATAAGCTCAACGAAGGTCTTCAGAAAGATATACATAATATCGACTAAAACATTTATACTTTCCTTATCTGAAATGCTCGATACTTTGAGATTTAACTAAAACACGAATTAAGGATTTCTGAGATTAGTTTGAAGGACACTTCTTATCCACCAGACCATGTCACTATGATATGTCGATCATCTCTTCTTAGTCCAGAATTTTTTTAATGATACAATAAATAGCCTAAGCTGTAGCATTTATTCCTATCTAAAGTTTCCAGTGTCAGGTAAAATTAATGTCTCTTGCAAAAAAATTGTTATTGTAAGACATTATCTTTTGAGACGTTTCGTACACAACTTAACCTATGGCGCTCTCTACACGAATTTAACTTTAGTACAGAAAAATTACAAATGCATTAGTGTTTGACATAAGCATACACCCCACTTTGTGCACGTTCAAACTGAATGGAATGTTCCACTTAGGTCGTTCCGCGTGACTGGGGGAGTGAATTTGGCGCTACCTATTAATAGAATGGGATACCCCATTAGTCTGCAAGATAAGTGTTTGCCCAGTCTGTGAAACTGATTAGTTTGCGAAAAATGGCGGCAGGGAGAGCATATCTCCTGGTTGTGCCGATTTTATTATTTTATCAAAAAATTACAAATGGGGAAGTTTTAACCCCTCCCTACTTTAACCTCGCCCAGGAAAGGAGGATATATGCCAGTTCTACGTGTGGGGAGGAGGGACAGGAGTTGTACTGTCGTCTGACAGGGGCCAGTTCAGAGAATGGGTTCGCTGACCCTTACAGGGAAATAATCCAGGGACAGTATTGTGACGTGTGTGACCCCAGCATCCGCGAGCATCGCCACCCCCCGGAGTATGCTATCGACGGGACAGAGCGATGGTGGCAGAGCCCGCCCCTGTCCCGGGGGATGGAATATAACCAAGTCAACCTCACCATCGACCTAGGACAGGTAATAAGCCTTTCTAAATTATGCAACGTATTTATTTTTTGATTAATTAATTTTTTTTTAATTTTTAGAATGATGAATTAGGTCAAATTTTCTGAACAGGTATATATACTATATATAGCTATATACCTATTTTTAGCTATGTAGGTATTTAAACCTATTATAAATAGCTATATCGACATATCATCGGATATCTTGAGCGTTTTTTTTTTTTTTTTTTTTTGGCGGCTGTAGAATCGCGGGAGAATCGCAAGATGATAAGATATTTTCTTTTTTTAGACATCAATCAGCACCTACATAGCAAATAATATCACACATAAGAGCCGCGTTTAGATAATATAGGTCATAAATATATTGATGTGAATGAAATAATCATCGATTAAGGTAGAATTTTAAGACATATGTATTAAAAACAATGAATGAACATGCTAAAAACTCACCGACTGCTTCGATGCTCTTTCGAAGAATGTCTGCACCGGAAATGACACTTTGAAACTAAATAATTGAGCCGGAGGAGGGCGAATCCGCATCTTCCAGTTCAATTTCTATGGAAGCATAGAGAGTGTTACAAATACAGTTTTACGTTACAATAGTATATGATAAAATAAAACTATACTGTGGTCCATATAAAGTTTTAAAATGTATTTATTATGGAATTAGGAGTATAAAAATGTAGAGTGGTGATTATTTTCAGGTGATAAAGTTAATATGAACGTGTGGATTGGCGAAAGGGGGGAGGGGGGTGTTGTAGAATACTTATTATAATATTTACATCTTTAATAGGACAGTAAAGCGCATCAATTTAAAAAAAATGCCTGTAATTATGGAGGGAACAAGAAAGGGCAACCGAAAAGAGGAAGACCTAAGAATGGGGAGACTGGCAATATGTATATGGAAGACGGCCACAAGAGGGCGCAGTCTCTCTACCAAAGAAAAAACACCTTATTTAAGAAGGTTAGTGTATAAATTGTATCAAATATATAATTTAACAATAAAATAACTATGAAGTCTATGTAATAAAAATGGGGGGAAATTATACCTGCTTCCCCTTCATCCATTTCTTCTCTCAACTGCATCAAGTTTTTATAGAATTTGATTAGAATGGCCTTCTTCTCATTCTTTATTTTCTTCCATTCTCCTGTTTTTTCGTCTCCTTATATGAAAGATATATAAATATAAGAAAATTATAATAAAGATTTAAAACATAAATTAAAAATTAAATAAATAATGAAACTTAAAATAATACTTTATAGAAAAATTCAATTACCTATGTCACAATCAATTTCTTTCAGTCTGTGCAACTCAGTATCTATAATTTTACTTATTTCCTGCTTCGTCTTACTCATGATGCTGTTGTAAGACTGTCTGTCCTCAGGTGTTATAAATATAGGAGCCAGACATTTCTGTTGGCATACAGTATTACTCTCTGCACAGCATTTTATGAAATCGATTAAATTTGATTTGCACTTGGAGGAGAAATGTATGATGTCGTCATCTAATTTTTTTCCTGAAATGCTACAGGGATGTCTCTGCTGAAATGGTGTGGTCAAATATTCTGAGTCCCTGAGCTCTATCCTCCAGTTTCTGATTTCCAATTCCAGATTCGTGTGATATATGGTGTCTGTTTTTTCTTCATGTACACCGAAGACGGTGTAGATGTTTTCACGAATCTTTCAATAAAATATTTTAAAAAATTAGCTAAATTTATGTGAATAGTAGAATAAAATAAAAATGAAGAAATTGCTAAATTTATTTATTTATTTATTTCTTCAGTATATATTTAATTTAACTTATCTTATAGGCAAAGGAACTTCACACAACCACAAAGGCGGACGTCCTTGTGGTTGTTAAACCCACAAGTGGAAAAACCATTAATTGGTGCACCCCACATTTTGAAGAGGTATAATAAAAAAAACATGCATAAATTGTTAATGTAATGTGGTAAAAAAATATTAAATATTAGCAATATAAACATATATGGGTATTTCATAAATCATGCATATATTAGTTTTTATTATTTTCTTTATTATTTTACAGCTGTCAAAATCTGTAACAACTTCATCCTCTTCTTCTTCTACTTCCTCTTCTACTGCTACTTCTTCTCAATGGACTATTTCTCAACCCACACCTTCTCACTCATCACCTGCACCTCCCTCTGTCAATTCCTCTGATACAGACTCTGAAATTCAGCATGTCACTTACCCCTCCCCACAACCTTCTACTTCCTTTTCATCACCTCCTCCGACTAACAAAAGAAGAAGATCATCAACTACCACAGAAACTTCATCATCCACCAAAAAAAACAAGAGCACACAGACTGCTTCCTTTAACGCTGGTCTAGAAAAACAGTGCAACGTTTGCTTGTCGGAAGAGGAGAAGGGCTACTGGGTTGGTTGCGACCACAAGTCAAAAAAGTGCCAGTACTGGGTGCACGACAGGTGTTTAGGATTTACATTCAAAAATAAGGCAGAACTTAAGAAAGTTGTGTTCAAATGCCCATCACATATGTGAAATTTAATATATTAGTATGAAATAAATTATCAATTGTAAATAATTCACCTTCTCTAGTTTATCCAGATTCCTGCATGCCTGGTTCCAATGTATAAATTTTGGTGCACCAGGTGGTAACCATCTTTTTGTCTCTTTGTTTTTGGACTCCAAAATAAAGTCCCCACCTTCTCCCTTACTGTGATGCCCTGATTCTACAATGATTTTTTGTTTAAAATACCTTCATCTTTCATTTCTTTATTTATAATCTGTGTTTTATGTTGCGAAGTTAACTTACGAGTCATAGATTCGTTCTCGTTTATGAAATGGAGAACTTCAGATGGGGCGCTTAATCTCATGATGGAGTCAAGGACTTCTATCTGTTGGTAGTTGAACTTATTAAGGCCAAAAAATAAAGGAGCAAACTTTATTCTCCCCGCCATCATAACTTGACTGTTGTTTCTACGTACACCCACTCGAAACATGTACAGGGCAAGGATGTACGTGAAAACAATTTCTTGGACAAATCTGCAATTAAGATTAATTTTGATATTTAAATAAGTTTTTTCATAAAAAAAATTTTAATGGCATAAAGCAAAAACATTAATATTACCTGTAATTACAGTCTTTGACTGAGGAGCACCATCGGAAGTATCCTAATGCTGATGGGGAATCGCCCGATGAAATGCAATCCCTAACATAGGGAATAAGTAATTCATCTCCTGAATTATCAAAAAAAATTATGCTTACATGAAAGCATATGCATTTTATAAAAGTATATTATAATTTATTCTATAAATTTATCTTGGTAATTTATAACATGTTTGTACAAATACCTGTGCCATAAAGGAGTATTTCCACGAACTGGAAAGCTTTGTGGTGGTCGCTGGCATCATGGCATGCGCTCAAAGCTTTGGCTGTGCGGTAACCCAGCATCTTGGCCAAATCTTCCCCAAATATCTCCCATACTAATTTTATGATGGCTGCAATATTTTAAATTATTATTTATGTATCATATTATATATTCAAAATAATTTTGTATTGTATGATTTTTAAAATACCTTTCGTCATGTTTATTTCAAAATGACCAAGTCCTGGAACGAGGAGGATGTCTTGCAGATCTTGCTCTTGTTCTATAACTTTGTTCCCAATTAGGTAAGGCAGGCCATCACAACCAACTATGGTCCATTTCCTGGTCTCCCCGGTGGTCTCTGCCTTTATCGCTGCAAGCACTTCCTTAACAGCTTCGTAAGAGCATGGGTTTTTGGCAACAGGATTGCCCATGATAATTGTTGGCTTTCCTGGATATATTTTATAAAGTTATCTTGGTAATCTTTATAAGATGTTTGTAAAAATATCTGTGCCATAAAGTAGTATTTCAACGATTATTATTTTTTTGCTTACCTGGGTGATTGTGCTCTACGAAGCTGTAAGGGTCCTCTTGTACTCTTGAAGTAGTATTTGGTAGGTCTTCCCCCCTCTTTCGCTTTCTGCCTCTGACGCCTTCCTCGATGGTGTCTGTTGGTCCTGTCAGTCCATCAGTGTGGCTCTTGTACACCTTCTCTAATCTTGACTCCACAAATTGCAATCGTAATTCCCGGAATATATTTCCGAACTTATCTAGATACTTGGAAAAATTGCTAATTTGTGAAGATAGGTTCTTTGGATACAGCCATTGTCTTGGTGAGAGATGGGGGTTTTGTTGCAAGTAGGAAAGATTGTGTGGAAATAAATGAACGACGGTCGTAATTGCAGATAAAATAGTTTTGTTGTCATAATTAACCCGCCATCTCCTTGTCAGAATCTGGTTGTTATCAAAAAATGTGAGAACGTCCTCAACACCGCTAATGGTTATTGGATCCCCTCCCTGCTGGGCTATCCATGAAACTATGGACTGGTAACTACCACCAGGACTTGCTATAGAATTCATAGTGCAGATGGATCTACTTCCTGAGAAGTAGTAAGATAGTAAATTCTTACTAAATGTAAGAGGTAAAATTAGGTTTGAGGTAACAAGTGAATATATTTGCTCTACAGCAAAAATGAAGGCTGCTGTCTGTTTTTCAGTCAAGTCTTGGATTTTTCTTCCCGATATGACAGAGAGAAACTGTATAACCATATGGTTTCTGTCTAATAACCATTTTTTTGTGTCTAATGAAGATAAATATTGTGTATCTTTGTATTTGGAAGATAGATGTTTAGAATCATCTTCAATGGACATCTTCTCATCTTGTAATAAAGCACGCAAAAGTCTTTTTTTGTCCCTGGTGGATAATTTTTTCTCTTCAATAAGTTTTACAACTTCTTCTACTGCCTTAACTACTGGCTTGTCAGTTATAGTTTTCAAGCACTCACTTGCACATGTTGTACAAAGATATGTTGATTTATCTGATAACACTTTATTTTCTATAAGTGCCTGTATCACACATTTCTTATATTTTTTACTGGAAATCTTATACACAGCAGCGCTATTATCGCTGTGCGATTTACAGCTGCATACAGGCATACCTGTAAAAAGAAATAGGCTTTCATATTCTGCTAAAGGTGAGCAAATAGGCCCATGGGTCTCTTACTATTTTCAGAAGCAGTAAGGCGGATTAATTTTATTATTTAATTAGAACACTGCAATCCTATTATTATTAAATTTAAAACCGAAAAATATAACGGTTTGCATTTAGTATTCATATTTTTAAAAATGTAGTAAAGGGGGGGGGGTCATTTTCCCATGTCCTTTATCCTTTCAAAATTTAAACAAGAGGTATAATATGTCAATATATCTTTAATTACGCCTGTTTTCATGAATAACAATTTCATATATACTTAATTTCATTTCTTAATTCCACATATGCAGGTTTTACTACCTTTACATTTAATTACATATAGCGTTTTTAGGCTTCCATACTTCGATGATGAAAACCGGCTTCTGAAACTTTATCGCCTTTACTCTGCAACTACCGCGCAGTGATCATTTCCGCTGCACGAAAAAATGGAAGTAGCAGGGTTGTATAGGAAGTTCACATTGTAATTTCTTTATGAAAACAAGAAAATAAGTCATTTTACCTCTACAAAGGCAAGTAAGTCGTCTTCTTTATTCTTCCTTTCTCTTTTCTTTTCATAATTGCGAACAAACGCGGCTCTTTTATATAACATAATTATGACGTATGTGAGTAATGTTCCAAACTATGAACAGCTGAGTAGTATTAAGCTGCGACTATTTTTTATTCAAGAGTAAATCTATTTTTAAGTTCTACATCCAACCGAAATATGTCGATATAGCTATTTATGATAGGTTTAAATACCTATATAGCTAAAAATAGATATATAGCTATATATAGTGATTTGCCTGGACCTGCTGAACAAGTGCATGGATGTAAAAGTTTTTGATAACATCGCTTCAGGCGCTGTAGCGATCTGGCAGCTCTGCTAAATCTGTTACCTTGACAACCAGAGATAAGGTGGTTTTGGCAGAAGCCGTGTTATCAGTGGGATAGATTAGTATGTATACAAGCTCTCGGCTAATACTGACAAGAGTGACTCTATATGAGCCTTGTATAACCACTCATTACTGACAATTGTACTCAGGTTCACCTAGTCTCACCACAAACTCAAGGTGTGAAATGAACACCTCTCAGTCCTAAATGTCACACCGTGGGGGTCTCAGCTGAGTTAATGTAATTAACACTGACCCCACACATTATCCCACTGTAAAATGGGTTTATGATTTGTTTTCCTTTGATGTGTGATTATCTATTCATCGATTGAATTATAAATAAAAATCTTACATAAGAAGTCCTTGTTTGAGAATTAAATGGCCCTCAAGTCTGAAGTATGTGTTTGTTTAACTTTGTGAAATGTCACAGTATGTTTAAAGGGATTACACGGTAGTCCATTGTTCAAATAGATGGAATTTTAAGTGGCATCTTACGTTACAACCTACATGTACTATTGAACTAGAAAATGATGAGAATTCTTCAGATTTATGGCATATGACATGATATTTTTGACAAAATGCTTCATTAAATGAATTGTTATAATGATACTCTTAAAAAATGTCAATTAACCTACAAGCATATGCTGATACTGCCTTCTTTAAAATTGTTAGGTGTAGTTGTATCAAAATTCTATTTAATGTTTATAAGAATTGTTTTCCAAACATTTACATAAAATTATATAGTTCTAAGGACTAATGAAAGTCATTTCCACTTTGAAAATAACCAATTGTCAATTTCAAGGCCTTTCTTTAGTTGGATTGTTCACATATTAAATATTAAAAAAATGATTCTTAGTTAAATTTTAAAATGTTAACCACTGTGAGGAATACAATCTACAACATTAATTTGTTATCTGAGCAGAGAGTTGCTCCCAAAACCTAGCTGTTCCTAATAATTTGAAATAATGCAAACTACTTTATCCTTATTGCAAGGTTCTGCATAATGCACACTGTAAATTTGATGCCAAACTTGAATACAGTGGACCTTCAGATATCCGGACGCCAGATATCCGGATGCTTCAGTATCCGGACGATTTTTCATCGGAACGAAATTTTTAAATGTTATTTTGTCTTGTTTAACTGTTGATTCAGATATCCGGATGCTTCACATATCCGGACAAATTGACTGGGAACCAAAGCGTCCGGATAAATGAGGGTCCACTGTATATACATAATAAATATGTAAGGAGATATTGTAACTATTAATATAGGCAAAGGCAGAGAAAATAGGCAAGTCTGTATGATCAACATAATTGTATTCATTACTTGTGAATGTTCAAAATTAAAAAGCACTGTATAATTCCTACAATTAAATGAGTTTTAACGGGTCCAGTTTTAACTGTTATCATGATTATTGCAGATTGTATCAAGATTTGAGTTTGACATAATCTGTACATATTTTCAGGAATTCCATGTTGCCTATGTGTTCATTAAGATGGCTAACTCCCCGCGCCCGGGGGTCTGGGCTCTGGAGAGGTCTACAGACTTTGGCCAGTCCTGGCGAGCCTGGCAGTATTTTGCGGACACACCCAGTGACTGTATGAAGTTTTTCGGAGTACCTGCTGACCAAGAAATCTATTCTGATGATGCTGTCATCTGCTCCACGGAATTCTCCAAGATCGTTCCTCTGGAAAATGGAGAGGTAACTGCTGAGGGAGTTTTATTTTTGCTTATTTAAAAAGATATTGTTTGTAATAAGATTCACAAGTTGTTATCAAGCCAAGATCTCTTATCTGGCCACTTCAGACAAATGATTGTGATAATATTACAATGGTAGAGGGCTATACACAGTGTAATAGGCTTTGCTTGCTGCCCAATCCTATTCACTTTTTGTGAAAAAAATGATGTATAAAAAAAATCAAATATAAGAATGTGGGAGGGTGATTGGGAGGGGGGGGGGGTGTTTTCACGGTTATTCAAGCTCATTAAAAAGCTCCCATAAAACTTCCTTTTTATGGCGTCGGGCTTGCCCGATCGGCATCTAGGGATCAGTCAGGTTTACGCGACCGCACGTGTCAGTGGATGCATCCGCAATAGAAAATAGCAACAGCTGTAAACCAATTTCTTTTAAAACGTTCACTATGAATAATAGCTTGAATATAAAATCAAATCAATTGTATTTTCAATTAATACTACTACAAAACAACGATATTATGTTTAATTTTTACGCAAGAAAAACGTTATGGTTGTTGCGGATGAATTTCTACTGAGAGGGTGCGTCGAATGACATGAATCACATTTAGGGACCGCTTACTATAACACAAATAATCTTAAATACAGTAAAATAATTACAAAATAAACACGAATACAACACGACTATAAAGATTGAATTTCTTAATCTTAGCTTTACTTTTACGATCTTCAATCCAATTTTAGCCGAACAACTTACGATATTGACCAGTAATGCCAGTATTACTGTATTTATCCATTTCCTCCATTTGTTTACCGCGCCCTATCGTAAGTCGATCGTACTTGTAACATTAGAGTCATGGTTGTAGTTAAGATGCAATCACTATACAACAGAACAACACTCTGAAAATGGCAATTAATTAAAATAATTTATGAAACCCTTCGTATGTCTTCGATTGACTGAAAAGAAATTAGATTGATATAGAGGATGGACATTTCTGACGATGTCTGGTCAATTCGAACCCTGACTCATTCGGACCAGGACACAACGTTATCAGGCCCTATACTGTATTTGTGTTAAGACTATTTTTTTTAAATTTTATTATTATGTTACCGGAGTCACTCACTTGACCTATTTGCAGATCTTTTAAAATTGTTTTTCTTGTTTGACGCCATTGAAGCCTTTCAGGCTTTTGTTTTCACACAGTAAATGCCACAGCTTGTCCTACAAACTTTCACAGCTGTGTTCACAGTGTGTGGAAAATGTATGATTAAGTCTTGACTTATTTTCCTTGAGAAGTGTGGTAAATAGAGAGGGGCCTTGTGTTATGATAAGTAAGAAATGCCAGAAATTATACAGAACAGCTGTGTGTCAGATTCATTCGTGTAAAACATTCCAGCCACTTCTTCAACATCTTGTACTACACAATGCCCTGGTTGTGTGTGTCAGTCAGCTGAATGGATGTAAAATATATCGATTTGAGTTTTGAAACCCCTGGTCACCTGGTGCAGTAAAGAATATACAGACCAGTTAACTGACCGGCTTGTTGTCTGTGTGTCACTGCAGACCAAAGTCATACATATACAGGAAAAAAGCTTAATTATTATTAACCACACATCATGACCTTCCAGTGTGAGCTACTTATGTCTATAATCAGTGAAGGGTACGGAAAGTGAAATAAAATTACAGAAGTACAATTTCTAATATATACATCAAAACCCTTCTGTGTATCACCTCCCTAACAATGCAGTAGAATTTAAATAACGAATTATATATCCTAAATAGCTGATTTCGGAGGAATTTGACATTAAAGCTCCAATGAAGTTGAGGACAAAGCATTGATTGATAATTGGTTTTTAAGGATCCTTTAACAGTTAAAATGATAGACTTTATTATAGTGTCTGTACGTTTTATGTGCATTTTATATGTAACAAATCAATGTACGTAAGCCATTTTGTGTGATTGTATTAATTTTTTTTAAGGCAGAAGTGTGCCTGATGCCATATTCTAAAGGAATTCTGTAAATTATATTGAAGACCCCAGCAAAGATTAAAAATAAAGAGTTTAATCTTCCCATTTATCATCAGTGTTCACTACAGGGACGTGGTCAATTACATCTCCAAATAATAAACTACAATTTAGTTTTACCTTCCATTAAATTCCAATCAATGAAATAATAAATCAAAAAAAAGTATTATAAATTTATACCCGCACTTTCTTTTTAAGAAAGCAATAAAGTTTTAAAAATATGCTGCTGGAATGTTCATTTTCCTTTACGATTTTTATATATTTTTCGTGTTTGGTATTCCTTGTTGGTATTCATTGTCCTTGTTGTCAAGTACTCGACAAGGCAAATATTATTATACCATCTTCGGAAAAACCTTTTTAGAGCAAAAAACATAAGAAAGTGTAAACACACTTTTAAATCCCAAGGTTGATTTGAACTCCTCTAAAAGGAATATTACATTTTACACAGTAGCCTAATCATCTTTTGGGAGATGGTTGGTGGTGTCATGAAACAATAGATGTGCATTAATTCTTTGGTTTCGGAATTTTTGAATTCTCTGCCCCATTGGGGCTGGTCCACCTCTAATGACAGAGGGAACTTTGTCATTTTTAAAATAATGACCTTTGATTTTTTATGACAAAAAGCCCCGTCTTCCCATTTTTAGGAGACTACAGTTGAATAATTAAATCTCTTACATTTTACACAGTAGGCTAATCATCTTTTGGGAGATGGTTGGTGGTGTCCTGTAGATGTGCAGTAAGGTTTCGGAATTTTGATTTTGCCCTTTTGGGAGATGGTTGGGGGTCATGTAGATGTGCAGGGTTTCGGAAAAAATGGTGTTTTTTATGCAAAAAGCCCCGTCTTCCCTGAACTCCTCTTACATTTTACACAGTAGCCTAATCATCTTTTGGGAGATGGTTGGTGGTGTCATGTAGATGTGCAGTAAGGTTTCGGAATTTTGATTTTGCCTTGGGGAGTCAAATGGGGGTCGAAAAATGATGTTTTTTATGCAAAAAGCCCCGTCTTCCCTGAACTCCTCTTACATTTTACACAGTAGGCTAATCATCTTTTGGGAGATGGTTGGTGTTGTCATGTAGATGTGCAATAAGGTTTCGGAATTTTGATTTTGCCCCGGGGGGTCAAATGGGGGTCGAAAAATGACGTTTTTTATGCAAAAAGCCCCGTCTTCCCTGAACTCCTCTTACATTTTACACAGTAGCCTAATCATCTTTTGGGAGATGGTTGATGGTGTCATGTAGATGTGCAGTAAGGTTTCGGAATTTTGATTTTGCCCCGGGGGGTCAAATGGGGGTCGAAAAATGACGTTTTTTATGCAAAAAGCCCCGTCTTCCCTGAACTCCTCTTACATTTTACACAGTAGCCTAATCATCTTTTGGGAGATGGTTGATGGTGTCATGTAGATGTGCAGTAAGGTTTCGGAATTTTGATTTTGCCCCGGGGGGTCAAATGGGGGTCGAAAAATGATGTTTTTTATGCAAAAAGCCCCGTCTTCCCTGAACTCCTCTTACATTTTACACAGTAGCCTAATCATCTTTTGGGAGATGGTTGGTGGTGTCCTGTAGATGTGCAGTAAGGTTTCGGAATTTTGATTTTGCCCCAGGGGGTCAAATGGGGGTCGAAAAATGATGTTTTTTATGCAAAAAGCCCCGTCTTCCCTGAACTCCTCTTACATTTTACACAGTAGGCTAATCATCTTTTGGGAGATGGTTGGTGGTGTCCTGTAGATGTGCAGTAAGGTTTCAGAATTTTGATTTTGCCCCAGGGGGTCAAATGGGAGTCGAAAAATGATGTTTTTTATGCAAAAAGCCCCGTCTTCCCTGAACTCCTCTTACATTTTACACAGTAGGCTAATCATCTTTTGGGAGATGGTTGGTGGTGTCCTGTAGATGTGCAGTAAGGTTTCGGAATTTTGATTTTGCCCCAGGGGGTCAAATGGGGGTCGAAAAATGATGTTTTTTATGCAAAAAGCCCCGTCTTCCCTGAACTCCTCTTACATTTTACACAGTAGGCTAATCATCTTTTGGGAGATGGTTGGTGGTGTCATGTAGATGTGCAGCAATGTTTCGGAATTTTGATTTTGGCCCAGGGGGTCAAAAGGGGGTCAAAAAATGACGTTTTTTATGCAAAAAGCCCTGTTTTCCCTGAACTCCTCTTACATTTTACACAGTAGCCTAATCATCTTTTGGGAGATGGTTGGTGGTGTCATGTAGATGTACAGTAAGGTTTTGGAATGTTGAATTTGCCCCGGGGGGACTAATGGTGTCGAAAAATGATATTTTAAAAAGTGAGGTCAAGGTCAAAGGAAAATTCAAGGTCAAAATAAGTTGACGTATTAATAGCTCTTAGCAGTATGTATCAGCATATGAGGTTTGATAAATATATCTTGAATTGTTTATTCAAAACTGGTCTAGACATTAATTTTAGAAAAGTGATATCAAGGTCACAGGAAAAGTCAAGGTAAAAAAGAGTGAAGCATCGTAAAGCTTACATCAGTATGTATCATCATGTGAAGTTTCATTACACAACTTGAATGGTTTCTTTAAAATAAAGCTAAACACTAATTTAAAGAAAAGTTAAGTGAAGGTCAAAGGAAAAGTCAAAGTCAAAAAATATTGCTGCAGTTGGATATTTACATCAGTATGCATCAACATATGAACTTTGATAAAAATATCTAGAAAGTTTCTTTGAGCCCGATGGAAAGACAGATGGAAGGGTGGAGGACGGACATGACAAAAACTATACATGTATTCCTAATCATGGTGTGGCATAAAAAACTTGAATCTACATTATATGAGCATGTTCCATCTATCAAGATTATACAAGCAAATTCAAAGAATTGTGGTCCTCTGCTTTCTGTGTTTTACTGAATGAGATACCATAATTTATGGCAGATTGTGTGTCAAATATGCACCCCTATCATATATCAATTTTTGAAAATTGGGTCAAAGGGGAAAAATCATAGCATGCTCTGAAACATTTTGTT